CCCCTTTCCAAGTTACAGTTATTTCAATAAAAACTCATATTTCATTGACAATAAATGTCTCCGCACCTTTTTGGAGAAGCTAATGGTTGAAGATGCGATATGCATTATTAGTTAATATGCTATTATTGCTCCCTTTGGAACAAAGGAATCTGACATATTATTTTTGTTCTGACAGATCCACTGGTTTTTGTAAATGCTCATATTCTTTTTAATTATGCACAGATGCTTCTTTTGACTAGATATTTTGTGAGACATTTAGGCATTTGGACTGCAAATAGTAGTTTATATGGATCATTTTCCATTTTTATCATTCAGTAAAGTGACTTAAATGTGAATCTAATTATATAAGATGGCATAAATGTTATGTGTGAGACTATTTTTCATTAGCATATGAAAGTTTTAAGCATTTGGGAGTCTTTTCTTTCCTCTTTTCTTTTTCCCTTTTATGCATATAAAATAAATATTTTAAAAGCTCATGTCTCTTTTAATCAAATCTGCTTCTCTTTTGTTTTCTTTATTAGCATTGCCTCTCTCAACCAAAGAAGTTGGAATCAGGATGTATATGCATAAAACTGGCAGAAAAATGTAGGAGAAATGATTTAGAATAAAAGTTGTTGAAGTTCTTTCCCTGAACCAGGAAAATAGTTCATACTTAGATCCTCTACCCCAGACCTTAACTTTCTCTCACCCTTTCTCCTTTTGGCCTGGCTATCTGTGGAAGGACTAGAACGAAAAGTGTCATTACATATGTCATAATATAATTATTCAAATGACATGAATTCTTTCATTTGCATAATCATCCCAAAGGCGCTTTTTCAAAAGGCAACTGAGCTTTGTTTTTCCTTGAAGATGTTTCGCTTCTCATCCAAGAAGATTCTTCAGTACTGGATGAGAAGTTAAATGTCTTCAAGGAAAAAAAAACCCAGCTGCCTTTTGAAAAAGCACCTTTGGGACAACCATGACCTAGATCAGTGATGGCAAACCTTTTCAGCATCAAGTGCTGAAAAGGTTGCGCAGAAAGGTCGTACACAGGCGCGCTCATCATGGCCGCACTCTGGAAAAGCTGAACTTCCAGATTCTAGCGCGCATGCGCACCCGATAATCAGCTGGCCACCATGCATGCACAGGCCGGTTTTTGGCATTGCCGCAAGCACGAAGGACAGCTGATTGTCGTGCGTGCATGCACACCAGAAACCTAGAAGACAAACAGGCAAGGCCGCACGTGCCAGGCGACATGGCTTTGCATGCCACTTTGGGCACACATGCCATAGATTTGCCATCATGGACCTACTGTGTTTTCCCGAAAATAAGACCCTGTCTTATATTTTTTTGAACCCTGAAATAAGAGCTTGGCCTTATTTTCAGGGAGGTCTTATTATTTTGGGGCGCGTGGAGCAAGACAGGACTCCTCTTGCCGTCTTACTTGATTTCCAGCTCTGTCTCCCTAACCAGAGGAAATAGTGGGGACCAGCTGCGCATGCGTTTAAATATTTTCGGGGAGGATTATTTTCGAGAAAACACAATAGATGACTGAGAATCTCCATAGGCAATAATTTGCATAATGAAATTATAGTTTCTACCAGACTGTTCAGATAGAACATTGTTTCTCAACCTGAGCAAGTTTAAGATGTGTGGACTTCAACACTTAGCATGCTGTCTGGGAAATTCCAGGGGTGAAACTTCACAGATCTTAACGTTGTCAAGATTGATAAACACTGTGATAGAAGCTGAAGTAGGAAGATAGGCATTATGGATTCAAAAACTCAAATATTGTACCACATGACAAAGAACATTGTCTTTTATCCAGGTCAGCTATCAATACGTTTTGCAGACAACTATCTGTATATACTGTACATTTTGTAGAGCCATTGGCACTCTGAATAGTAAAAACAAGATAAATGAAAACCAAATGCAATCTCAATCCATCCAATGTATGCTGACAGGACCACGCACAAGTTTCTTAAAACAGGCTCATATGTCATAATTCTTGCATTATATCATTTCCCTTCACCAAGAACAAACACAAAGCAGAAACAGCTGCCAGCTTTAATAACTATTTTCAATATCCTTGATTCAGGGTGAAAATAATAGATTTTATTAAATGCATGATTCTAGCTACCTGGCTATCATATGTGGTGATAGTACTACGAGGTGGAAAGATGCCTCTTCTATGGGATACAATGGACATCAGAACCTATGGTTGAGTGTAGAATTTTCAGAAGAGGTTGTTTCTTGAAAATATGAGCTTCCATCCATATGACCTAATAACAGTTTAAAAATCCATAAAGCAGCGTTCCTTATGACAGATGTGCTTGGAATGCAAATTCTAAGATTCCAAAGAGTTATAATCTCAATGCATCTAGAACAGGGGTGTCAAACTCGATTTCATTGAGGGCCACATCAGGGTTGTGTTTGACCTCAAGGGAGTGAACGGGCACGGCCAGGGTGGGCATGGCCGGGGTGGGCATGGCCAACTCAACATCCTGCAGCCCTCTGCCAGCAAAACAGAGCCCGTGAGGCACACGGCCCTCCCAAGGAGGCACACTCCATTTTTGCTGGCAGAGGCACCATAAGCCAGTCCTTTGCTTTTCCAGGGTGGTCCCGCAGGCCAGATCTAGCATCCTTGGGCCGGATGCGGCCCATGGTTCTTCAGTTTGACACCCCTGATCTAGAACGATCCAATTTGAAGAACCTCATGACTTATAATACAGTATATATTTACTTTACTTTACTAGTGATGACCCCTGCCATAGTTGATATATTATGTGTTTGCCATATTACAGAATACTATTTTTCTAAACTTTCTTGTAACAGTGAGTGATCATCATTCAGAGTTTTATTTCCTAGCTTCCTAGCTTATTATTACTGAACTACCTTAAAAAGTTGTTTTAGAGTTTACTGGAGAAAAAAAGGTTAAAAGCTGAAAAACTGTGGCATGATGTTAGATTCATTTTGGATTGAAGCAGCATAAAAGCACTTGCAAATGAAAATAGTAATGTCATGTAATGATGCTAAATCTTGTCCATCTGAAGCTTCTTATCCTTGCTTTGATATTTCAGTAGTTTGGAGGCAAAATATATAGTCTCATAAAAGACACAAAAACAGACCTGAAAAACTTTCAAGTCACTTCAAGCAGGACTGGAGTAAATTGGAGGATACATTGCTGGGACAAAATAATACCAAATTTCAAAATCTTTAAAGCTTTCTTTGTGTTAAAAAAATAAATAATAACAAAAATTTCAGGAAAAAATCCAGTTTCATTGGTCCTCTGATTAAACTCTTTAGAAGATTAAGTGCCTGCCAGCTAAGAACAAAAAGGCCAATGAGGACAACAAGCAGTGACCAGGAAGGAACAAGGTGTCCCAACACAGTGCGCTGTAGCCCAGGTGTTCTCAACACCCAGTCAGTGATCGGCACCAGGTCACAGCATGCCAGAAACCAGGCTGCGCAAACAAACAAAGCCCATCTGTGGATACGGGTGGCATGCAAAACCATGCCCCCTCTAGTCCACGGAAAAACCTCTCACCAAGGAACCAGTCCCTGGTGCCCAAAAGGTTGGGAGCAAAGATGGTATTCAGCCATTTCGGACCGGTTCACCCGAAACAATAGCGGAAATAGTGGGTGGGCCCGCCTATCCCGGCTCTATGCCATCTTATTTAGGCATGTTTTTGAGGCCGGCCGCACGCATGGAAGGCACGTGCCTGAAGAAAGCACATGTGCTGAATGCCGGGCGCATGCGCGGAAGGCAGGCACACACACAAACCGGGCACACGCACACATGAAGCGACTATGTGTGCACACGGCAAACCGGTAGTAACATAATGAGAAACCCACTGCTTGTTGGGAGCCGCTGCTGTAGCCAACTACAGTAGAGTGCAATGAAGTGCAGCAGGCATAGCAGAGAGCACCATTCGTGGTAGCCCAACTCAGAATACTCTATTTTGGATACATAGATGGTAATAAGTTGCCTACCAGTGGGCTAGGGATGTACCAGAGGTGGGTTTCAGCAGGTTCTGACCAGTTCTGGAGAACCGGTAGCGGAAATTCTGAGTAGTTCGGAGAACCGGTTCAATACCACCTCTAACTGGCCTCGCCGCCATCTATTCTCTGCCTCCCAAGTCCCAGCTGATTGGGAGGAAATGGGGATTTTGCCGTATCCTTCCCCTGGAGTGGGATGGGAATGGAGATTTTGCAGTATCCTTCCCCTGGAGTGGGGTGGGAATGGAGATTTTACAGTATCCTTTCCCTGTCATGCCCACCAAGCCATGCCATGCCCACCAAGCCATGCCATACCCACCAAGCCATGCCACGCCCACCAAGCCACACCGACAGAATTGGTAGTAAACAATTTTGAAACCCACCACTGGGATGTACTACATGAAGGGTTCAAATTTTACGTTCCAGTTTTTTGGAAAGTTAGCAGCTCACACTCATATTGGAGCAATCTAGTTGTGCATATTAGCCCTTTGCCTTTTAAATCAAGAGACTGGAAAGTTGTGATCATGTCTCCATGTCAACAGTTTATAGCCAAGGACCTCGCATCTATGATTTACACATGAGTTAGCATGCTGAGCCCAAAAGTCGGGTGCACAACCAACAAATGCTATTTCATTTCAAGAGACTTAAAGCAGAACTGGAAATTCAGCCCAAGAAAGAACATCATGGGAAATAGAAATTAAAAGAAAGAGACTCGTGTGATTAATTGTTATTAGAGATTCATTTTTATGAAGGTCAGTTCTGAAAATTTTGTTGCATGATCTCTTCTATCTTTAGGGAAGGTGCAAGATACTTAATATGGAGCATGGCAGTCATTATAGGAGAGGGAGACACGTGAGGAGCAAGCTTTGAGAAAAAAGAAGGGGCCTCATTCAAATTCTTCATACAGCGTTATACAGATTCAGTATAGTTGCTACATCCTTAATTCATTCCTGGACGGCCACTGCAGCTTCACCTCACATTTAAGTTTTGCCCCTACCAAAAAGCACATGTAACCAACTTACTCATTGAGCATAGGCATGGATGTCCTTCTCTTGCTTTTCTGCACCATATTGGCCTGGTTCCTAAGGGAGATTCGGATAAGCGATGGAGCCAGCCGACATGGTTCACCATCCACTTGCATGGGGATGGACTTATATGTTAGTAGAGTCACTTCCCGACACTGATGTAACCTCTCTCCATGACCTCCTACTTGAAGAGCAGCCTTTCCATGACATAAAGAAGGAGAAAAGAGAGGAAATATTATATGTAGATATTTCTTTCTTCCTTTTTTCCCTTTCCAAAACAAAAGAAAGTTTTAAAAGATTCTTAGATGGTGTGCACAATTCTTGCCTTATCTTAAATAGAAGATGGCCAAATTGTGTGGCCAATATCCCACTTTTCATTACAGAATTATCTTGCTAATAGTTTACAACAGTCTGTCTTCAGTTCAGTCCTGATACCATGAGATAAATCCTCCTAAGGGCTTTTTTTCACAACAGTAGGCAACCAGGAAGTCTACTTCATCCATTGTTTAAATTGGGAGAGATTAAACGTGGGAGATATTTTCATGGAAAGAGGGACCATCTTTTGAGAAAACATTGCTCCTTGCATCTGCCACATCTCAAAATCAGTAAGCAAGAAGAAAAATATCAAGTAGAGAGAGGAATCAGTTGCATGCAAACCATTTTTTCAAGCACAGGAGTGGATAGTGGTTAACCATCCTCCACTGTGTCCTTAAATTGGCAAATCTATCTAATACAGATGCATACCAAATGCGTAATGTTCATTGCCAATTGCCATTTAATTAATTTTGTATGGTTTTGCTCTTTTGCTCTGATTGCCTGATAGCCCGGTAACTAGTATGAGAAGAAATGTATTTTAAAAAGTACCCACCAAGGATGCCATGGTGAATCCAATGACCTCAATGTAACCATCATCATGTCTCTGAGGTTCGAATTCTCTATGGTCTCCTGGATTACCCCAGGGCATTGTGCCAGCACAATACCTATAGAAAGAAGTTGAAACTGTAAGGACTTCAGTGAACATTCAGCCAATTTTATCTTCATCAGAAACTCATATAATCAAGCACCTATGTAGCTTTGTTCTGTACAAATGACTTCTGAGAGCTGAGAGGTCTTTCTTTCCTTTGTTACAGTGATTGTTCAGAAAAAAATAAGAGTCACTTTTCCATATAGAATGTAGACTTGCCTTTGAGGCAGGGACTAATTCTATTCTATTCTATTCTATTCTATTCTATTCTATTCTATTCTATTCTATTCTATTCTATTCTATTCTATTCTATTCTATTCTATTCTATTCCATTCCATTCCATTCCATTCCATTCCATTCCATTCTATTCTTGATATAGGAAGGATTCTCAGAGTGAAGATTCATTCTTTCAACTGAGATAGGGATACATGGCACCACAGTTAGATTATCTTGATGTAGACACATGTGTAAATCCCAGAGCAGGCTCCCTCATGAGACCAAGATATTCAAGTTGTGTTGGAAGGAACAGGTTGAACTTGACCCACCATCTGCAGTCCTCTCATTCTAGGTGGTATAATCTTGCATTTTGATGCAGTTCTCCGAATATAATGCAAAATATGGGTGAGAAATATGTGCCTTCAAAAGCAGATTAAAATTAGAGTTGATGTTCTGGAGATCTCTTGTAGGCTACCAGCACTTTCAAACTGCCTATCCATTTTGATGGCTCAAAATAAGAAGTCTTTGGAATAATTCTGTGGTATTCTGGGACCACATTACTTTTACCTGATATGTTTTTTTAGGCTCAAATATTGGTTGACTTAGGTGATCTCTATAGATGCTTACTCATGGAGTCTCACGTTGGGGAAAGGACCTTCCAAGTGAGATATTGAGGCAGTGGAAGAGAAGGTCACAGAGGCAGCAATGGTCATGAAGATGGCAACAGTTTTGGGCTACACTATGCATACAATCACCTTCAGTTTGTTGCAAAATAGAAGTCTGTGAGTCTATTGAATGATAGATAAGCATATCAATGCATATGTTTATTTTGTTAGAATAAGAGGAAAGCAGCGAGAATGATTACTTTGGATCAAGGGTGGGTAGCATTTGAAGGACTGAAAGGGCTTCAGTTCAAACTTCTGACCTTCTGGAGGTCCACTGAAAGTCTTCAGATGATGGTGAGACATTGCTAAAAACAGCCCAAACATTTTTGGCCTGGATTTTCTGAGCAAGCAGGAAGGTTCCCTGAGACATTCCTTAAAATCATCCAAAACCTGAACAAATGGCCAAATAAGACCACTGAAATCTAGTCCTGATACCAGAGGTGGTATTCAGCAGGTTCGTCAAAGGCTTTTAAAAGCATTTTTTTTTTTACAACCTCTTCGGCCGAAGTGGTTGTAGAAAAAATGCTTTTAAAAGTTTTTTTTTTAAAAAGCCTCTGATGATCGCACGGCTCAGCTGGGATCATCAGAGGCTTTTAAAAGTATTTTTTTACAACCTCTTCAGCCAAAGTGGTTGTAGAAAAAATGCTTTTAAAAGTTTTTTTTAAAAAAAGCCTCTGATGATCGCACGGCTCAGCTGGGATCACCAGAGGCTTTTAAAAGTATTTTTTTACAACCTCTTCAGCCAAAGTGGTTGTAGAAAAAATGCTTTTAAAAGGTAAAAAAAAGCCTCTGATGATCCCAGCTAAGCAGTGTGATCGTCAGAGGCTTTTGCTTTTAAAAGTGAAAAAAGAAGATTGCGTGCCACAGCTGATCCCCCCCCCCATGCGCTGTTCTACTTACCGCATGCCTCCTTTTGGCGTGCATTGTGCGTGTACACTTCGCATTTGGTGTGTGGTGCGCATACACAACCAGCGAACCGGTAGTAAACCGGTTCAGATTTCACCACTGGCGGGCGCTCACATTTGCAAACCGGTAGGGAAAATAAGTGAATACCACCCCCCGACTGTTACCCTCTAATTTTGGCAATGTATACTAGAAATCACATGTAGCCTGCACCTCATGAATTCCCAATTGTTTTTGAAAAACATTAACTCCATATAAAAAAAAAATAGCCAGAAGACTTCAACTAAATCTGTATGTTTGTGTATTTATTTTACTTATTATTTTATTTGGTCAAATTTATATGCTGCCCTTCTCCTGAAGGACTCGGGGTGGCTCACAAAGGATTAAAACCGTAGAACCGTATCTGTGTATGCACATTCACACACATCTTTAAATCACTCTTCAATCCTGGCAAATGCCTGGACAAGTCTGTGCCATTTTCTTGACAAGATTTTCAAAAACGGTTTGCCACTATCTTCTTCTTAGAATTGAGAGGGAGAGAAACTCACCCAGCTGACTACTGCCTAAGGCAAAACAAAAACCAAATGGACTTTCCATTTGTAGCTGATGCCTTTAACCCTTATATCAAACTAGCTTTTTTTCCCCCAATTGAAATATGTTTATGAAATGCTCTTCCTGCATAGCAGGAAATGCTCTTCCTGATACAGCACAGATGAAGAAAGGTCAGCATAACCATCTCCAGATGGTCCAGGGGAAAAAAAGTATGTTGAGAACTTCTGCTGACCCTTTTTAATTTAAAAACACAAATTCTCAAACAAAAGTCAAATTTTTGACTTTTTTACATGTATTTGTAAAAATACAAATTCTCAAACAAAAAAAATTCTCACAAAAGTCCAAATCTTTTATTACCTTACTTTTCTGGCGAACATATTGACTCATGGATGAGGGTTCGGGCTTTATGGGCTGTTTATGTGACAATACTTTTTAAAAAGTGGGTCAGGGAAGAGCTATGTTATTATAATACAATATGATACCGTGTTTCTCCAAAAAGGCGGCCAGGTCTTATTTTCTTTTGACCCCCGAAAAAACGGCTAGGCCTTCTTTCTAAAGGGTTCTAATTATTGACTCACCTCACAGCGGTGGCACCGACAGCCCCACCCAGCTGGAGCCCACTGCTGGCCCACTTCTTCTGCAGCTGCTTGCCGCCACTCACACGCATCGCCCCGGCCTCCGTTTTGCCTTCAGATGCCTGCCAGAAGGCATCGAAGGCGAAATGGAGGCCGGGGCGATGTGTGTGAGTGGCAGCAAGCAGCTGCAGAAGAAGTGGCCGCAGAAGAAGGCAAGGCAGATGTCGGGATGCGCAAGGCCTGGTAAGTAGGGCAGCTCCACACACCCCCATCCTCACCCTAGCTTATTTTTTACCTATGTGCCTCGCCTCACCCCCTGCACCCCAGGGTGGGTGGGGTTTTACTTAAGGCTAATTTTGTGGGTGGGGCTTAATTGGATCGCATGCGCTCAAAAACATGATAGGGCTTCTTTTCAAGGTGGGTCATCTTTTTGGAGAAACACGGTATATCCACAATATTCTAACAACAAACACAGTATTTCACATCCACTCATGAAATGAAGACGTTGACTCTTTTTATGGAGTCAAACACATATCAGAAATTTTGATTTTGTTTTGTTTTAATTCTGCATAGGGGGGATTAGAGGCAGGACTGAAAATGTTGAAAAACTTCAGACTTATTGGTGACAGAGATTGACAGTGGCCAAATTACAAGTAAAAAAAAACTTAAGGAAGGATAAGGGAAAAAAGTATATGGATTTGGAGAAAGGCAGATTATCATACAAGAGCAAATCAGATTTTTTAAAAAAAAGCATCAGAAAAAATCTGTTTTCTGTGTCTCTCCCCCTCTTGAGCTCAATAAGACCAAGTTCATTCAGACACAAAACCTTCAGTAAAAATTCACAAACGGTGTTTTCAAGCAGTTCATAAAATCACATCAGGAGATTTGGGATGCAACCCTGTCATTATGCAGGCTGCCTAGTTTTCTACTAATTAATAAATTCCTAATAAATACATTTTGCTTTATTTATTTGGGGAAAGCTGAAGTTTAAACAAAACAAGATTTGGCTTAGAAAATCTGCTGATCTGAATATTTTAAAAAAACAGATTAGGTTTGAGAGTTTCTTTGGATTCATAACTGATTTTATCTTATGGCCTTCAACAAATAAACTTTGACCATAGCACTCATAAATGGCTAGGAAAGCTATTGAATTAAAGAACAGGAAAAGAGGAAGAATTAGAAGATATTCTACAAAAAAGTCAAAATGATATTAGTGGTCCTCAGACAAACAATACCAATCATAGTTTATCTGAGCTGACACACAAAGTTGAGAGCCATTATGGTATAGTAGTGGTTAAGGTGCTGGCCTAGAAACCAGGAGACTGTAAATTCTAGTTGTCTCTTAGGCATGAAAGTTAGAAGGGTGAACTCTCAGCCCAACCCACCTCACAGGGTTGTTGTTGTTGTGGGGAAAATAGAAGGTGGGAGCACTAGGTCGTATGCTGCCTTGAGTTGACAAAAAATACAGACATGATAAACCAAATAAATAAATACATTCAAATAAATGTATGCACAAGGTTTTTGTGTGTTTGTTTTCTACTCTTTTGAAACATCTAACAAAGATTCCATTACATGAGTCCTAGAATAAAAAAAAATATTTACCTGGGTATGTTTAAAAATACTATACATTGAAATTTCAGCTCTTGAATCTTGGAAGTCAAGTCAGTCCCATCACACTGCCAGAGAGTAAGAGAAAGAAAATGAAAGCAAATATGAACAGACAAACTTTATAACAGAGTAATCCATTGATGAGAAACAGGATCTTGAAAGTTGAGAAAAGAGTACAGTCTTGGAGCAGTGGATATCCAGTTCAAATCAGAGTGCCCTGAAGACACAAACAGGTGTAGAATCTCAGTAGGTTGCAGTGCAAGATTCAGGTTATTTGGTTGGAATGTCTACCTAAGAGGATCTGGCAAGTGGAAAGATACTTTGGAAGATACCAAGTTGAAGACTGTAATACTTGTTGTGGCCTGCCAGCTGCCAGTGGAGCTGGTGGCAGACTCAGACAATGAGGAGGTTGGGGAAGAATTTGGGCCAGTTCTGGAGTCTGGGGAAGGCTCTGATGGATGCACTGTGTCAGACACAGAGATAGAGCCAGAGCTGTCCGACATTTACCAGCCACCGGAGAGGCAGGTGCCTTTGGAGGCTGATATGAGTGAGGAGGAAGAACAGCTGGGGCCTGTTCCAGATGCATGTATGCACAGAGCAGTTAGGAGAAGTGAACAATGGAGGACAAGGAGTCGACTTGGGAAGCAAAGCACACGTAGACGCTGAATGACCCCTCCCTGGCTGGAGAATAAATAGAAGGAAAGGGGAGTGGTTGTCGTACAAGGCAACAGTTCATATTTCTGAAGATTTTGCTCATTGTGTTTTGTGCATCAAAGACTGCTTGCCAGAACTTAATTTGCAGCCTTTCGGCTGGGAGCTCATGGCCTTGCAATTATCGCAAGGAAGTGATAAGGTCTGTTGCTGCATTTAACTCCTTGCAGGACTCTTGCTTGGACTTTTTGGTGGGTGAATGCCATTAATTCACAAGAGGTAAATAAAGAGGGTTTTTCATGACAAGGAGTCTGTTTCTTGCTTCCGCTAAGGCTGGGTCAGAACAATACTTGGGAGCGCACCTTTTCTGTTCCTAAGCACCTTCTATCTTCAGGAGTATGCTTATTGGTGTAACAAAATCCATTTGGCCAATATATGTTCTAGAGCAGTGATGGCTAACCTTTCTGCCATCATGTGCCAAAAGCGGGAGGAGTGCAGTGTGATTGCACGGGTTCGTGCCCACACCCATAATTCTATGCACCCTGCCCCCCCGCGCATGCGCACGCAACCCCCCCGTGCTCCTCCTGCTTTTGGCATCTGATGGCACGGTGAATCCGGTAGGCCCGTTTTTCGCCCTCCCCAGGCTCCAGAGGCTTTCTAGGAGCCTGCGGAGGGCAAAAACAGCCTTCCCCACCCGCCCGGAGGCCTTCCAGAGGCTGAAAACAGCCCGTTTGTCAACTTCTGGTGGGCCCAGAAGGCCCGAAAATCAGCTGACCAGCGCATGCTCGCGTGCCCACCAATATGGCTCCGCGTGCCACCTGTGGCACGCATGCCATAGGTTCGCCATCACGGTTCTAGAGGCTCTGTAGTGTGATCATTGTGTTGTTACTCTAACAAATTATCAATGTTACCAAGAAGATGAAAGATGTCCTGCCAGGTCTGGGAGAACTCAAAAGATATGAAGTGAGATCCTTTCAGTGACTGATTGAATCATGCGCCTAGGGTGGATTCATATAACATCCTAAAAACCTGAGTTAAAAAGGGACAATATTTCTGTTTACAGGGCACAAATACCAAAGCAAATCATTTCTCTATAATAGCTTAACACAGTGATTGGCAAAACAAATCTGCAAATCTGCAAAACAATTGCAGATTCCTACAAAGTTCTGAATCATAAACAATCCAATCCCATTTTAGCTTGAAAGGGACGTGGTGGCTCAGTGGCTAAGATGCTGAGTTTGGCATTTTAGCCACTGAGCTAAGAAAGTTGGCACTTCAGCGGTTCGAATCCCTAGCGCCGCATAACGGAGTGAGCTCCCGTTACTTGTCCCAGCTTCTGTCAACCTAGCAGTTCGAAAGCACGTAAAAAATGCAAGTAGAAAAATAGGGACCACCTTTGATGGGAAGGTAACAGCGCTCCATGCGTCTGTTCTGTCCCCGTCTCACACACGCACACAAACAGATAGTCAGGGGTTAAATAAAACTGGCAGACAACAAATACTTTCGATAAGAGGATTGGCAGCAACCCAGTAGCTGCTTGCCAAGAACTTTACTCATAGAGGGAGGGGGTGTTCCTCCGACAGATAAACCCAAACAAGATACACACAGTTCAAGAATTGTCAAGTCCAGTCCGTATTAAATCCAAGGCAGATAACGTTGTTTCAAAGATACAATGTGACTCGCTAGTAGTTAGTTTTGTCTGTCATAGAGTCTGAATGGCCACCTCACCCCCTTTTATCCCCTGTGGGGTGTGGTCCAGTGACTCAGCTTAATCTCTGGCACGCCTCCTTTTCTGCTGCGTGCGCTTGTCTCTCCGACACTGGCGTGGATCCAGCCAAGACTTATCTCCGTCACTGTCCAACTGCAAGGAGATACCTGGCTCCTGGCCAATCTCTTCTCCTGCGGGAGACACCTGAGGCATTGCCAGAGAGGAGGGTCCTGGAGAGGGAGGCCTGCCAACTCCTCTCCTTCATGTTCAGAGCCTTCTCCCTCTGATAAGTCAGCCTCGGGGGTCGGAGTCACAACAGCGCCTTCAGCATTTAGTCATGCTGGCCACATGACCACAGAGATGTCTTTGGACATCACTGGCTCTTTGGCTTAGAAACGGAGATGAGCACCACCACTAGAACCGGAAAGGACTAGCACGCATATGTGGGGAACCTTTGCCTTTAGTCAGTGGTGGGATTCAAATAATTTAACAACCGGTTCTCTGCCCTAAAGATTTCTTCCAACAACCAGTTCACCAAACTGCTTAGAAAGTTAACAACCAGTTCTCCTGAAGTGGTGCGAACTGGCTGAATCCCATCACTGCCTTTAGTGCAGTGGCCCCTAACCTTTTGGGCACCAGGGACCAGTTCCATGGAGAAAGGTTATTTTTGTGGACTAGAGGGGACGTGGTCTTGCATGCTGCCTGCATCCTGTGGATGGGACTTCACTTGTTTGTGCGGCCCAGTTATTGACATGCTGCGGCCTAGTGCCAGTCCATGGACTGGGGGTTGGGGACCACTCAAATATTTGCACAACCTTAATAAATTCCATGTGCATAAACAAATGACAAACAAGAAAATTTCAATTATGCCCAGAAAATAAGATAGTGTATCCCCTGAAATTATTTTTCTGTCTTTATCATTTGTTTTGATTTAAAGGCATCGAAGTCTTGTTTCCATTAAAAATGGTCAATTCAGGCATCAAACCCAGGACCTTCATTCATGTTAATATAAATGAGACTGTCCTTCACTCATGTTAATATAAATGAAAATGACCTTCACTCATGTTAATATGAATAAAAATGTCTTCAATGTTTTTTCTAGGCTTCAGACAAAGTGTTCAAGCTGACAGGTCATTTCCCAGATTATAGTCATTAAAAGACACAAAATACTCTATTATACTTACCACAACTTTCACGTGTTTGGATAAATCTCTAGAGCTTCTCTGAAGGAAATCTGAAAAAGCTGCCTAGATTATACAGGAACAGAAGCAATACAGAAAGGTGAAATATAATTTTTTCCTGAAATTTTTGACAATATTTCTAGAACATCAAGTGCAAACTTTATGTAAACTTGGCCCATGGAAAGCAGTCTGTACAAAACAAAGTATGTGATTGCTTCTCTTGATTATGATTTATTTTCCATGTCAACAATTATAGAAATATTTGGAAGCAGTATCTGCTTCTTAATAGTCTCTTTTTTAAAAAAAAAAAAATCCCTTAAATTGGAAGACATTAAGACAATAGAATGGAAAATAAGACAAAACTGCACCAGAAGGCTAATCAGTGTTTTTCTCTGATAATTCACACTCTCCTTCTCCTCCTCCTCTTGCTCCTGTATCAGTTCAATACAGGGACAGAAGAATGAAAGGCTTCTGGATGCATTAGCTTATTTTTAGCATGGACATTTCCTTTAGTTTTTCTGGAGGCTGCTGGCTGCATAGAGACTGAGTTCCATTTATATGCAGCAAGAGTCAAAGTAATACCCAAACCACTTAGCATGGTTTGACAATAGGGGTGTCAAACTCGATTTCATTGAGGGCTGCATCGGGGTTGTGTTTGACCTCAGGGGCCAGGGGGGCATGGCCAGGGTGGGCATGGCCAGCTCGACATCACTCGTTGAGGCTCCGTTTTCAGCCGCAGTGACCTCCTGCAGCCCTCTGCCAGCAAGAACAGAGCTTGGAGAGGCATCGCGCAGCCCACCTGGGTTCCATTTTCGGCTGCAACAGTCTCCTGCAACCCTCTGCCAGCGAAAACAGAGCTCGGTGAGGCCACTCCCAAGCTCCATTTTCACCGGCAGAGGCACCGTGAGCTGGTCCTTCGATGTTTCTAGGGCTGCCCCGCGGGCCAGATCTATGCACCCTGCGGGTGGATCCGGCCCACAGGCCTTGAGTTTGACACCCCTGGGTTAAGGCATCAAGCTAGAAACTAGGAATCTATGTGTTTTAGTCCTGTTTTAGGCATGAAAATTGGCTGGTGACCTGGGCCACTCTCTAACTTCACAGAGCTCTTGCTTTGGGAAAAACAGGAGGAGGAAGGTGTACTGTATATGTTTGCCTCAGAGATGGGATTCACTTACCTTCCCTACTGGTTCGCACGCCTCCCTCCCTCCCCACCTTCCACACATGCTCAGTATTGCATGCATGCTCTTTGCTCTCGCGTACGCCTTCCGCGCATGTGCATGGCCTCCAAAACGTGGCATTACATCTAGGCAGGTGGGCGGGGCCTACCGCAGTTGCCAAACCAGACAGAACTGGCTGAATCCCACCACCGGTTTGCCTTCTTGGATTACTTATAAAATAATAAAAGGGATTTTTTAAAAAATCTAATAAATAGTATTTAGTATTTAGGCAAAAGCATACTGATAGGTAAAATTTTACCTAAAGTGTCTTTCTGATTGCTTATCTAAAGTACAAGTCCACAGGAACAGTAGCCAATGTTGCTTTTCTCTTCGAATCTATACAAAACATTTGTTCCTTTTAAAAACCTTTGATGCAATAATTCTATATACAGATATAAGTAGCTTTAAGACCTACTGAACTCATTTTTCTCATTAGACATGCCTAGGACCGTGCTCTTAGAATGATACTGGCTAACGGACTATTTGTTGCTAATTGCTCAAAATAAGAACCAAAAAGAAATCAGAGAAAAAAAGAGACTATATCAACTCACCCCGGCATAAAACATTTTATTTCGAAACCGGCTGTTGAATTTTTCAGGATTTGCCTCTGTAAGAAGGAAGAAAAAGAAAGCCGAATTTAAAAACTCTTTTACAAAGTCCATTAAACACTGCACTGGCTTTCCACTCTTAGCTTTTTCAAGAAATAACAATGAATCAAATGTGATATGAACTGGCAGTAAAGAAATGTTTATCTAAATTAAGTAATGAAGTGCCTTTCCATAATGCAAGAAAGACTGAATACAGTATTTACTTAAGAAATAAGAGAAAGAAAAATAATATCTCAAAGACTAGCATATTACTGAATTACCAATTTTCTAAGGCTGCAAAATTCTTGACTTGCATTGCTTATAGGAGAGATAGCTGCAGCACTCAAAAACTTCTAATAGTTGATGCCAAGGTACAATTTTTAATATGGCAAAAAGAGAACATTATTACATAAATTATTAAAAAACAATGATATTAATTTTGTTTGATTTTAGCTAAATATAAATCAAATTTATTTTATTTATTAACTATCCTGTTTTTACTTGCTGTCAGGCTTCACACATCAGGCATGGCCATAAGTCTCACTTCTTCAGACACTTAAATTCAAATGTCTATGGAGATTCTCAAGTCATCCAGGTCATGGTTGTCCCAAAGGTGCTTTTTCAAGAGGCAACTGAACTTTCTTGGGTTTTTTTGAAGACGTTTCTCTTTTCTCATCCAAGAAGCTTCTTCAGCTCTCCACCATCCAGTCAGAGATGAAGAAGCTTCTTGGGTGAGAAGCGAAACATCTTCAAACAAAAACAAGAAAATTGTCTCTTTAAAAAACACCTTTGGGACTTAAATTCAAACTCTACCCACAGCTTTCAGACACAGCTTGGCCAGATTAGTCTCTTTCTTGCAGACAAGGGTGAAACTACATACACACAGAAATGTCGCCTACTGCACTAGAGGCAGTCCTTGACTTACAACAGTTCATTTAGTGACCATTCAAATGGCACTGAAAAAAGCGACATATCAACATTTGTCATAGTTATGACCGTTGCAGCATCCTTATAGTCACTTTATCAAAATTCAGATGTTTGGCTATGGTTCATATTTATGATGGTTACAATGTCATAGGGTCGTGTGATCACCTTTTGCAACCTTCTAACAAGCAAAGTCAATGGGGAAGCCAGGTTCACTTAACAACCCTATTAACAGTAGCAATAGCATTTAGACTTATATACCGCTTTATATATGCTTTACATATCTGTCAATATGCTGAATCAGCATATTGCCTCCAACACCTCGGAAGGATGGAAGGCCGAGGCAACTCTGAGGCAAGAAAGGTCATAAAAATGGAGCAAAATTTACTTAACAAGTTTCCCACCTAACAACAGAAATTTTGGGTTCAATTGTGGCCATAGGCCAAGGGCTACCTGTATATAGAAGTCAAAGTATATGTATTAGACTATGTTCTGTGCCTGCCTTTCTGAGCCATTGGATACTTGGCTGTTCCTCTGACAGCCATGGAAAGAACCTAATATATGCTGATATAACAGTTCTGTCTACCTGAGAATTGCTGGTTTGCTACATATTTTTCACCTACTCTTTGGAGCAAAGCATTTAAAGAGAGAAACCTTGATGTTCATGTAAACCAAAGCACCACTTCCCCTGATTTACATAAAAGATATTTTAGCTTATGGCCAAATTACAGAGGAATTATTGAGTC